TTGGAACCTCTGTTCTCAACATGTATGCAAAGTGTGGGAGCATCGACTTAGCACGAAGGTGTTTCGATAGAATAGCGGAGAAAGATATCGTAGCATGGACCTCGATGGTGGAAGGATACGCTGTCCATGGACTTGGCATGGAAGCTTTGGACTTGTTCTACCGGATGAAGGAGGAAGGTGTTAGACCAAACAGTGTCACCTTTCTGAGCTTGTTGTCTGCTTGTAGTCACTCAGGACTTGTGAGAGAAGGCTGTGAGTTGTTCGACTGCATGATCACAAGATATTGTATCCGGCCTGAGATAAGCCACTACACATGCTTGGTGGACTTGCTTGGCCGATCTGGGAGGCTTGGTGAAGCTCTTGATGTGATCACCGGCATGATCGCTGAGCCTGATGGTCGAATCTGGGGAGCACTGCTTGCTTCTTGTAGGACTCATTCCGATAGTGTTCTTGGAAATTATGCAGCCAAGAAGCTTTTTGATTTGGAACCAGATAATATGGGCTATCAAGTTGTGTTGAGCAATATTTTTGCTGGTGACGAGAGGTGGGAAGAAACTGAAAGAACTAGGAAGTTGATGCACAGAGAAGAGGTAAGAAAGAAACCAGGTTGGAGCTGTGTTCAGGTGAAGGGGATGTCCGATGTGTTTGTTGCAGGGGACAAATCACACCCTCAAGTAGGCAAAATTTATGAGGTTTTGGGGTGTTTGGCAAGGCAGAGTGAAGAAAGCAGAGATTGTTAACATTCTCGGTTTCTATGCAGTTCATGGATCAAAAAGATGAGGCAAATTTATGGAAATCCCACATAAAACTGTTCATGAATGATATAAAACATGGGATATGCATGAGAAGATTTGAACTGTTAAAAGAATGGAAGGAAGGAAGGAAGGATACAAGACAAAAGGCAAGTACGACAACAGCAACAGAGAGCACTAAAACTGCTCCCGAAGCAACAAGCAGTGCCTCACTCATCTCTGACAAAGAATAGTCATTCTTCATGTACGCCAACCAACATAAGATTCCTGCTACATTTGCGAGCCTGTGCTAGCTAAAGACAACACAATGGTTCCTATAATGCTAAGCTGCTACTCTATCATCAGTTACTATTATGATCCAAATCCACTAAATCTTTCATCGAGCTAAGACCGGCAGGTGGACAGAGATCTCTCTCCTTATATCCTTTGGCTTTCATGCTGTCATAAACATAAGGTCTACTGTTTTCCTCTGCATTCCAGACAGCCATTAGTCTATGGAGGGGTGGAAAGTAGTGGAAACCGGAAAGGTTCGTGGCCAGGAGTCCGAAAAGCTCAAAAGATGGCTTTGCTTGTTAACCGAGATGTAAACCAGTGAGCTGAGCTGTAGAGATCCGTGGGGACACCCCACCATGTGTACAGCCTATGTCACTTGCTACGATTGCAGCTTTTAATTGCCATCCATGTGGTCACTCCCTCCATCACATTATGATACCAGCTCCATATGTTCTGCCATCTCCAACATTTACTTACTGTACACCTGAATTAATAACTTGGATCTCAAACTGTACCCAGCTCTCACCCACATTAGGTTTGATTTCTGCCATCCTTGCGCAGAGGAAACGAAAGAAACATTGCAGAAACAGGACCAGCTATTGGACACTATTCCTTCTCATTTGGCACCCTAGAGAAACAAATATTGGTGATTCGTTAGCCTGCAATCTTTGTAAGGTGTGTCTTCCTAAGCCATTAAAGTTAAAATTATGGTGCCCTTTCTACAGGAATCTCTTCCTTCTACCTGCTGGCAGAAATTTAGAAGGGTTGTGAGGTACTGTCTGATCTAGAATCATGTGAAATACCTTAAGTTCCCATCTGTCTCTGCACAGACACTGATGGACTGTAACAACTATTATGAGGGAATTCCACAAGTTTGCATTCCAAGACAACAGTAATTTGGGTTCCTTGACGGTGTTAGATTGCAGAACGACTAAAAGCAAGAACCCAAGAGAACTGTCCGATATATATACACATTGCAGCATGATGTGGAGGACAGTTCTCTTCATGTTACACAAAGTGCTTGATGGTCTTTGTTTCGTCTAAGGAAGAAAAGAAAACAATAAAAGGAAATAAAGTCTTTTAGCACACGGGAAAATAGAAGGGGAACTGAAGGAATTACAGGAGATGGTGAAGAAACTTCAGATCAAACTACACGAATTCTCTTCTTGGGAGGGAGAGAAAGGAAGACCGAGGTAAGATCGCGAGGAACGGCGTGGAATTCCATGGAAGGAGCCGGCGGTACCCTCTTCGCCGGCTTCGGCTTTCTCGGAGCCGGCGGACAAACAAGGACGGGCTTGAGAACGGTCTCTTCCGCCTTTGGTGTGACGCACTCTTCCTCTTCGGTTTCGGCAGCATAGGGACGGCCTTCCACGGGCTTGTCCTGCGTCGGCGCCGTCTTTATGGGCGGAAGCAGAGGCAATTCACCTACGACGACGACGACCGCCTCGGAGCCCATGGCTGCGGAGATCAAGAACTGAAGACGAAGGCAGTGGAGGCCACAGGATTCCCTTAAGAGGGGCAAAGAGAAGCACACGTTACAAGGTGGTCAGCTCGGAGAGGAATCCTTGTGGTGGAGGAGAAGAGGAGAAGAGAGAAGAAGCTGAGCAGCAAATTTGGAGGGAGAGGGAAGGGCGAAGGAGTTAAATACGGACGGTGACAGAGGAAAGAGAAAGGGGAGGAGGTGCAGCAGATCACAGAAGCACGAGGATATATATGTCATTTGCCTCCGGAGAAAGCATTAAAAGGGATTAATTGCGGCATTAAATTGCGCGCGCCCACGTCATCCCCAGAGAGATCTAATACGATAACGCCAGTAATGGCGGTGACGAACAACCCAATGACCCTCCAATTCTAAGAAAACCACAAGAGTGCCACTCCCTCGTTGAAAGTTTCAATGATTCGCGTTCCGCACCTCCGGGCGGAGCGGTAGGCAAAGGCTGCTCGACCCACGTGGCTCTTGCTGGGTCTGAGGGGTCTAAGCCTCCTCCTTAAGATTAATCCACCCCTCCATCCATCATGCCTCAAAGCTCCCAGTGCAATAATCTGAATGACTTAGATCGAGAAGAGACATGACCCCTCAGATGGTGGTGTGACATTTTACGCATGAAAAGCTTAATCTGGAAGAGGCATGACTTCGTTGTGCTCAAGTCAGAAAGAAAGAAACACCAAGAAAATCTATGAAGGGAGCAAAGGCTATTTTAGTAAGTTGACGAGGCTGCACAAATGATGTGTTCATGCAAGCATAGGAGTCACCGGAGGAGTATACTGCAAGAAAGGAAGCATATGGAAGTTCCGAGAGGAGTCGTGGTGGCGAGGGCAGTTCAGATCTGTTGGACAAGAGAGAGGTGAAGCAGAAGGAACACCACTTTTGGAGTTTTCTTTCAGTCCGCTTCCATGTGGAAAGCTTTCACCCCAATAATGCCAACTTGAGGACACAGCATGGAATGAACCTTCACGAAAGCAGCTCAGGTTTTGTCTCTCTCTCTCTCTCTCTCTCTCTCTCTAAAAGAAAGATCAGCAAATTAAATCAATCACGAACAAGGTAGCTTCGTATTCTATAATTCATGGCAGGTGAGAGAGACTCCACAGAGCACTCACTCTCTCTTTTGCTCTTGTATTGTACAGAGTGAGTGAGTGAGTGAATCCTCCTTGCATGTTCTGGCCATCACCCACGCACATGGAGTGGAGTAAATGAATGGAGAACATGGGAACGGTAAACTCCCCACTCCCAAGCAACTTCCTTCGGGTGCATCCATAGCAACAATTGAAGTCACAGATCCCAATCCCCCCCCATCCTTATCCCAAGCCACCAAGGACATTTATTCCCAGGTACTCTACTAGTATATTATGTCTCGTGCTAGGACAACCCTTGTCTCCTACGTAGCCAATTCCTCAGCCTTCAGGGCCAATAGACTGTGAGAGTAGACAGATTGAGGTCGACACCCGCACACTACTGGTCGTGTTGAATGACTCATAGTTTGCAACTAAGAAGATATTGTTGATAATTCTACTAATCAAGTACATGTTCTGAGCCTACAGATAATTATACTTCAGACTACTGGTTTCAGGAAATTTAAATCATTTCAACTATTTTTCACATATCAAGAGCAACTACCCAATTCCTAGATAAAACAAAGTAAAGCAGCATATCAGATCAATTGAGTTCTAGCAGCATCAGTGTGTCCAAGCTCTAGCCTAAGCAGCAAGATGTCTCATCACGGAATTGAAAACCCTGATGCTATAATGTTGTGTTTCTCTAGAGTATGTGTTGATCTGAGTTAAGAAATATACTTAAACAGGAAACATAAAATGAGAACTGAATGATGTGTACATTCTAGCTATAAGGAAAAAAAAGAAAAGACATGTAAAAGAGCAGCAAGAGAGAGATTACCAATGATGGAGAACAAAGATAATTTGAGAAGCAAAATGCATAAAGTTATATCTTTTTGAAACAAAAAAACACATAAAACTTAGCAAGCGATAGAGCACCGAGAAAATGTACCTGGAGAAGGATGAACCAATCCGTTGATTGACTTCTCAAGAAGGTCGGGAACATCAGTGTATCTTCTGTAAATAATTGACCTTTTAGTTCTTTCATATGGTTGTTTGAGTACTTAGTTGTTCTAACTAAAATGAATTATGCACTTGAAAGAAAGAAAAAAAAACTATTTAATGACCACATTTTCAATGTTTTCGATGTCACGTATAAAATTGACAAATTTAACAATTCTCTTTTAAGCAAATTTGTAAGCTTTGCTGCATTTTCTTTCAATTTGTGTTGTTCTTGTCACCAACCAACCCTGAAATACACTCCTGAACTGTCTAAACACACTTAATATAAGACTATGTTTTGGTGCCACTAGTTTATTTCAGAAAAGTTGTAGGTTTCATTTTGTTAACCATGCAGGATATAATTCTTGCATGCATATTCATTTCGAACATGGCAGAGGTGCATGGGATCAATGAAAAAGATAGGTTTGGTAGGCCATTAAGTGTACAATCTGTTTGCTTGGAAGCATGCAAGTATTTTAGATGGTTTTCAGATCCCAATGAGATTTATAATGGGAGAAACTATTCTTTTGTCCTTTCTTAGACTCTTTCTTGTGCAGGTGATCAGAGTAGTTCTAAATAAGACAATGGATGAGAGTGACCACCCATGCACCTGATCCATAATGCACGGAAATTCTCATCAACATTAGATGCTTTCCAATTCTGCCATGGTGTTTATATCCCAATGATCAGCTACACCCTCGGGTAACTCATGCTTTTTCACCCTAAAGACACTGATCTGAGACTAAGATATCCTACTTGTTAATTAATGCTGGCATCTTTACTGACATTGATGTAATTCTCAGGCTAACCAATCAGATCTACAGGTCATCAAACTTTTTTCTGCATATCCGCAGATGAAGATTCTTTTCTGGACATAGACAATGTCTTACAAATTGTTCTGTTCTTAATTAAAGAATGTCAAACAAGTTGCAGACACAGACAACAAGTGTTTTTTGTTAACAGGTATGCTATAATTAAAGAATGTCAAACAAGTTATTAGCAAGTCATCAGCTCACTAAAAAAAAAAAAAAAAAATCATTCATTTGTGTTCCACTACTTGTTATCTGCTCAGGCTTGGGAATCTTCAATCAGTTAGTTAACTACTAAAACAGGTGGACCCTTAAACCCTGGAATCCTAGGTCGCAAAAAAATAACTTTACCATTGTACCAAGGCCTATCCTCTAGTTAGTTAACTACTATAGAGGAAAAATAACGAAAAAACCTAGATCCATAAAAAAGCTCTGCAATGCTTAACTATGAATTTAGCATGGATGTGTTTTCTGTATGTTGAACAAGATGAAGAACCATATAGAGTATGCAGTGAAATTATAGTCTCTCATTGAACTACTGATTCTGGCCCAGATGCAATGGCATGAAACTGATCAAAAGAAAATTTCGTGTGGCTCTTGGGTGATCACAAGATTGCCATGGTGATAGTTTTGTCTTGCCAAAAAACTCTGGGTTGGTTGTCAACCACTGTCTCCAGAGATGCAATCTGTGCTAAGTACTTAATTAATCATGTAGGCATACAAGGGGTTTATCTCCAGAAATGCTTTGCTGTAGGATCCCGATGGCTTTATCTCAATAAAAAAAAAGGGTTTGTGGTACCAATGGCACGTCCTTACCACTTCCAGTTCTCCCAGTCAAGCATTGTGTGATCTCTTTGGATGAAGTTTCAAGGATCCTAACCTTCCATCATGCAAAATATATAAACTATCACATAGAGATCCCCATATGAACAATCCATTTCTATTAAGGAACTAAAGAAAGCAGTTCTCCCAATGGCACGTCCTTACCACTTCCAGTTATCCCAATCAAGCATCGTGTATTCTCTTTGGATGGAGTTTCAAGGATTCCAATCTTCACCATCAAAAATATATAAACTATCACATAGAGGTCCCCATATGAACAATCCATTTCTATCAAGGAACTAAAGAGGGCTGTTCTTTCGATTTCAGGCCACTGCACATCTGTGCTGATTTAAGTAAAAAAGAAACCTGTTTTTTTTTATACATGACAATACTCGTAAGTAGATGTTGGATTTTGATTTTTAAAACTGTAAAAGTAGAAATTACCAAAAGCAAAGAAGACTCAGAACTGGAAAATAAAGCTGCTACAGAATGACACTTGATGTCTGATGGTTTCACGCACATGGATGATTAGTACAATCTCTGTTCCACCAGCCAAATTTATGATGTTTCCTATATGGTTTTACCTAAAAAGAATCAATATAATTTGTCAAGAGAACAGTAATGAATGTAAATGTTCTCAGCTATTATTTTTACCTCTTGTCATAGTGGATGGAAATTTGTAATGATTCATGAGTTTAACTTAGATTATCTTTCTTCTTTTCTTTTGATAGGTAACTTGATCATTTGAAATTGCAAATAATTGATTTATATTGCATCAATGTTTGGATGAGATTCTAGATCATAAATTCTTTCTCGGTTCGATCATGATTAATGGAAATCTTTTGAATAAAATGAATGACTGTAGTAAAAACATTGGTGCCATCTATTTTCAATGCAAGGTGAAGAGGAAGAAGAAGATACCAAACTTACTGGATCAGACTACTCTGATATATTAGGACATCTAAATAGATCAAATTTAGTAAAGATTGATGGGCCTGTGCCACTAGATTCATTCACGGATTTCCTAAAAGGTGAAACCCAATCCAATTTGGCCCATTACAATGGATTAAGAAAGCTAGATCGTTTGGCAGATCGGAGGCTACATGTATCATCCAGCCCATGAGAGACAGACAAATTCCCAAAAGATAAGGTCAAGTAGGCAGGAATCAATATTGGTAGGCAACATTCCTATCATACAAAATTGTCATATTTAATTCTACCACAGTTGACAAGAGGATTTTATTCTACTACAGTCAACAAAGTCATCCATTTTATAAATCAACACTACCTTCTTGACATCTAATCAAATATTTTCAATTCCATAATTCCAGTGACAAGTTTGACAATTAATTTTTATTTTGGTCAATTGTGTCCAATAGTGAACACATTCATCATGGACCCTACTTATCAGTGACATATTGCGCCAACAGTAGAGCATCCCAATTCAATTCAAACTCTACCACCTTCTCCTCTCCCCTATTCGACCGTCCCTCACCGGCCCTTCCCGGTGCCCGTGCCCACTGTCACGGGTCAACGGTTCCCCTCCCATAGCCACTCATCTTTTCCAGTCCCCCTCTCTGAGGCAGTACTACCCAGGATTAAAGCAATGGTCACAATTGCTGTTCCATAACATGAGTCCTCCGATTAAAAGATGAACATAATCACGATGACATCTAACAATATCTTTTATTATAAAACATACCGATTAATCAATCATGGAAGCGTCTTGATTCCAGCGAATGATCCGTACTCTATCCCACCATTTGCCTTTGTTTATAGGTTTAAAGCATATTCTCCAACGTCAACTTGACCCACGCCCTTTTCCTATCGTGCTAGCAAAAGGATCAGAGGGTCCAGATTACTTGACGCGTCGTGATTCGGAAACATGTATTGGTATTTTAAATAAAATAAGGCCAAGGACGAGAAGTCTACCTTTTGACTAATAGCTTTGCCGGCAGCCACTTTCTGGAAGAAGGCGCCTCCCCTGCAGTGATGCCATCACGAGAGAGGAGATGCGATCACGGCCGTCCGACGAAGAAGTGCCCTTTGACTTCAGCTTTAGGCCCGTCTTCGGCTTCAATGAATTTAACCCCCCTTCTGCCCGTTCTCCTCTGCTGAGCTTTGGGGGATTCGTGTTCTTTTCATGGTGGTGGTTTAGGATTGGGGGCGATGGCCGTTGATCTGTTGGGGTACGCGAAGATGGACGAGCAGATGGCGATCCAGGAGGCGGCGACGGCGGGGCTCCGGTCCATGGAGCACCTTCTCTCCCAACTCTCCCACCATCACCAACAGTCGCCGCAGCTCGACTGCCGCGAGATCACTGATCTCACCGTCTCCAAGTTCAAGAAGGTCATCTCTATCCTCGACCGCACCGGCCACGCCCGATTCCGTCGCGGCCCGAGCCTCGCCCCGGCAGTGGAGCCAGCGCCGCGGGCCGTCGCCCTCACCCCGGCCAAGCCGCCTCAGCCCCCGATCCCTCCGCCTCCGCGGAGCATGACCCTGGACTTCACGAAGCCGATCGCTGCACCGTCCCTCGTCGAGGCCTCCGGCAGCCAGTTCACGGCGGAGGGCTTCAGCATCTCGACGTCCATCACCGGCGACGGCAGCATCTCCAACGGCAAGATCGGATCCGCTTCCCTCCTCCTCCACCCCGCCGCCGTCTCCACCGGCAAGCCGCCTCTCTCCTCCTCCTTCAAGAAAAGGTGCCACGAGCACGCCCACTCCGAGCACCTTACCGAAAAGCATGCCATCCCCGGCGGCCGATGCCACTGCTCCAAGCGTAGGTAACCCAAAGCCCATAAAGAAGGAATCCCCTTCCCACCCAATAAATCGTCTCACGGCCATCAACAATACCAATCCGAAACAGTTCTCTGAACCAAATCGGGCGTTACACGCAGGAAATCGCGGGTGAAGAGAACGATACGCGTGCCGGCGATCAGCCCGAAGATGGCCGATATCCCACCCGACGAGTACTCGTGGCGGAAGTACGGGCAGAAGCCCATCAAGGGCTCCCCTTACCCGAGGTAAGCATCTCCTCCTCCTCCTCGTCCGCCCCCTCCTAACCGTCCGATGCAGATCGTGCAGCTAAAATCCTTCTCTTCCTCCATTACAGGGGCTACTACAAGTGCAGCATCCTCAGGTGGTGCCCGGCGCGGAAGCACGTGGAGCGGGCGCTCGATGACCCGACGATGCTGATCGTGACGTACGAGGGCGAGCACTGCCACGGCCGCGGCACCGCTGCGCCGCCCGAGACCGCCGATGCTCCCGTTGCGGCCGTCTGATGCACGAGACCTCTCCGTTTCCTCCTCCTCTTTTAAATCGACTTGTAAAAAGGCGGAAAATTCAAAAATGTTCGAGAAATTTGACGCGGTCGAATTCAGATCTCAAAATTACTTTTACGCTCAGTGCTACTTTTACGTCCTATTTGGTGAAAATTACGCTGCGCAATGGAGGCATTCAACTTGGCAGACTCTCTGTGGATGTGGAATACATGGTTATAAATTGGGGTGACAATATCTATTATGTGAAACACACATCTTCGATGTATTTTAGTGTTTGCCACTTAGTTCATATTATGATCTATGACATTTGCCTGCATCATCTCTTGAGTAATTGTGACATGGATAGAGTCAGCTTATAATATATGAGTAATTTCATCATGTCACTTCAAAATAATAGTAATGAAATCCTATGACTATGTTGTGTGATGCCTCTGCCTTTAATGGTGCATGCACTGCAATAATTCCACAGGTGATGCACTGAATGAATGATGCACCAGAAGTCCAAGGTGGTGTCTCTGCATGCCAGTTTGGCTGCAGCTGGTGATGGGCACATCTACTGGATGTTCTCAGGTGAAGAAACTGAGTGCAGGGTTTGCATTTGTGCTGGTTCAAGACAACAGATAAAAGCCATGCTGCTAGCCATTCTATTTTGACTCCCAGGTTTGAAGTGAAGAGAATTCAGTGGTTCAGCAGTCAACATCCCATTCTTCTTCTTTGAAGGAAAGATTGGAGGATTGACAGAGAACATGGAGTCCTTGTCTGTGTTGCTTAAAGAGTTTTGGTCAGAACACAAGACATGCTCCATCCACTTCATGATGTCCTCACCTTGAGAATGGTTATGGTCAAGGGAGAGATTGTCAACCTTCCCCATCATGAAGTGGATGGGACTGAATAAAGGTTTGGCAGATGAATTTGGAAGCAATATCATTATCATATATTACATATTACATATCTATCTTTATACTGATGTCTTTGAGTGGAAAAAAAAAACATCAACAGTAAACCTGATTCTGAAATCAAACATGGAGTTTCTACAACTGATGGTGATCACATCATTAGTTCTAGATGTTCTACCACAGACTCTTGAGGTTAAAGCTCATTTGATTCCCATGCCAAATCTTCTAGAGACCTAAATAAAGTAGATATCATGCAGCAACCTTTAGTAATAATTTACTTCACATGTAGTGCTCAAGCAAGGGAAACATTGGCATATGGTGGAAACTATTCTCAAACTATGATAGTCATACTTTATTTATTACTTTTCTTTGTGAGGTATGACTAAGTTCTATATTTACCAATGTCAATGAGATTGCTTAGTGGGGTGGTATTGCTCCAAAAGTCTTAAGATATGGGAGTTGACTAACTTTCCAGCCTTATGTTCTCATGGACAATTCTAATAGAACTGTCTGCATGCATCCAAAAAAGTTGCTGGTGCTGCATTAGAGTGGGCTTTCTGAAGAGGAAAATTGCAGGCATCAGTATAAGTTATTGCATCCTTAATTTAATCCTTTAAAATGTAAGCCCCCTCACATAAGTTGTCTCTCTCAAGAATATGATTCTGAGACTGAATAAAAATCTAAGATGACCATTCCAAGTAAGACAACAAAAAAATAAAAATAAAAATCTCATTCTGATGTAATGATAAGACTATTATATGATTATATAATGCTTGGTGGAAGAAACATCATTCCACTCATTCATCATGAATGACCTAATCATGATACCACTAAATCAGTCTACATGACCTGATCAATATTTCTGATGAGATGATAAATCATCTTGAATTAGTAGGAACATTGCACTTCCTATGCTCCCCCACCCCCCTTTGTAATCCAAAAGATGGTGAGATTGGCAATTAATGTCACGTCAAGAGGCCAAACTGCTCAACATTTTTGGGGCATGATGCCTGTGTTCTTGTCATCTTTGTTGAGTCCAAAGCTAAATCAATCAAGTGAGATTGGAGCAACTTTGGACTCGCTCTAATGGAGTACCAAAGTGTTGCTATTTCCAGTTCATCTTCATCCCTTTGTGCCACATTACTCTAACAAATTAGTTCTTGTCTCATGCTATAATAACCCCACCACCACATGCTTATAACTTAGAGATGATATGATTCATGTATCTATACTACTATTATAATTATTATTAGTTCTTGCATTATTATATATATAATTTGAAAAAAAAGTATATATATAAATAAATTGTTTTATAAATTTTATTATATATCATATATCCCTCAAAACATTTAAATATCACATGCATCACTATTGATACGATTTTCTTGAAAAAACTATTTTTTTAGATAATATCTTTATTTTTAAATATTAAAAATATCATTTCCTTCGATAATATCATTTTTAAATAATATTATCATTATCTTTATATAATATCATTTTTAAATATTAAATAATTATCTTTAGATAATATCATCTTTAGATATTAAATCATTATCTTTAGATAATATCATCTTTAAATATTAAATCATTATATTTATATAATATCTTTAGATAATATCATTTTTAAATATTTAAAAAGCTATTTTTTAGATAACATCTTTTAATTTTAAATATTAAATATTTAAAAAATATCTTTTTTAATATTAAAAAAATATCATTTTTAGATAATATCTTTATTTTTAAATATTAAAAATATCAAATTTAAATACTTTATTTTTAATATTAAAAAATATCATTTAAATATTTAAAAATATCATTTAAATATTTATTTTAAAATATTAACAAATATCATTGAAGTCTATTTTGTTGTCTTTGTCACCTTTTATCTTATCACTCCGTCTTTACTTATCGTCTCTACTCCTATCCATCCTTGTCATTCCTAGAAAATTATTTTTCTTAATATCACAATACTTTTAAAAAAATATTAATATAAGTTAAAGTTTCATAGGGAAGATGTGATGGGTTTGGAGTGACTAACTCAAACAATAGTGTCGTGTCAACCTTAACTTGTTACTTCCACAAAAACTTTGACCTTCAATCCCACATCACTTATCCTTTTGGTCGCACCAATCTAAGAGACTTCCAATTATTTTATTTGGTTATTTAATTCATCTCCTTCTTATCTAGAAGTTGAGATGGAGACACCTCATGGCAAGAGCTCGAGATGTGTTTGATCCAACTTGCCACATTATCAGCATAGCATATATATGTTACTACTACATCCTATTTTTTATCAATGTAAATTTCAATATAGCCATATATATATATATGTATGTATATGTGAGTCCCAACATTTATCTTTTCACATGAATTGGTATTAGAAAACTCATATTTATTAAATAAATAATAAAATATTTTTGATATACTTCTTATCCATTTTGGATGAATTCGTATGATTTTATTATTATTTTAATTCTCTTAATATGAAATCAAATATGCTTTTCATATGTAAATGATAATAGAAAGGTAAGTAGTTCACAGAGTTTGGCAGGCAAACTCCCACATGAACACTCCCAACACACAGCTTTCTTGCCCTCAAATCCAACCAAACTCTCCCACAATTCCCAAAGCCACCAGCAAACATAAAACCTTCTCTCTCTCTCTCTCTCTTCTTCCAATTATATATATATATATATATAAAGACAACTCTGACCACAAAATGAATTCAGAAGCTGTCCCCATGTCACAGTGTGAGATGCAGTGGTGGCTTCCCCTCTCACCTGTCTTGCTTGCTGCCCTCAGATTCCACCTCACATCCAAACAAAGAACACCACCAAAAGGAATAGTAAGAAGCTGCATTCATCTTCTCCAAAAGCCCTCTCCACTTTCCAGTTTCCATCCACCCAACCCTTCCATTCTTTTCTTACCCATCTGTTCTCAGTCACCCCCTAATCTTTTCATTAGACCCCAACTATTTCTTCTTTTCTCATCTTTGCCACCTTTCCATCTCTCTCTGTCTCTCTGTCTCTCACACATCCCCTCCTCCTCCTTCCTTATCTGTCCTTTCCTCACATCATTTCCATATCATCTCAAATTCATCTCTCCTTTTCCTTCCATAACACAATCCCTCTTCTCCTTCTTCTCTCTCTGCGTCTATCCTTCCTTCTTCCTTAGCCTTTTCCTACCAAAATCCTCATAAACAAATCGCTCCCTTCAACCTGCAGGACATCACCACTGGTTGTTTATCCTCCTCCTCTCATTCCATTCCAAGTCAACATTGGTTTGCCAACCTCTGCTTCCCAACCGCCCACCTTTGCTTCTCCCTTACACACGCGCACAGAAAAAGGCCATGTCTTTCTTCTTCTCCATCTCTCCTGGTTAGAATAGCGTCAGACCACTTCAACTCCCCTCTTGTTGTTGGTACGAGTCTTGCTCTGGGATTATTAGGGATTTTGGTTGATGGAAGGGGGAGAACGGGGGATCTCGAGTCTGGTGGCGGCGCGGCGGTCGCTGCAGGCGAGCCTGGAGAAGTCGCGGACGCTGGGCGCCGCCCTCGCCCGCGCTGGGCCCCGCCTGGACGAGATCCTGCAGCGGCTTCCCTCCCTGGAGGCCGCCGTCCGCCCGATCCGCGCCGACCGTGACGCCCTCGCGGCCGTCGGTGGGCACATCGACCGCGCCGTTGGTCCCGCCGCTGCTGTTCTCAAGGTCTTTGATGCGGTTCACGGACTCGAGCGTTCCCTCCTCTCCGACCCCCGCGCCGACCTCTCCGGTTACCTCTCCGTCCTCAAGCGCCTCGAGGAGGCCCTTCGCTTCCTCTCCGACAACTGCGGCCTCGCGGTGCAGTGGCTCGACGACATTGTGGAGTACCTCGACGATCACGCCCTCGCCGACTCGCGCTTCATCGAGGCCCTCAAGACCTCCCTCGCCTCTCTCAAGCTGTCCCCTTACCCGCTCGACGGCGGCCTTCTAGCGGCCGCCCTCGACAAGCTCGAGTCCGAGTTCCGCCGCCTCCTGGCTGAGCACACCGTACCCCTTCCGATGCCCTCGGACACCGTCGACGCTCCCACCATCGCCCCTTCCCCTATCCCGGTGCCCGTCATCAACAAGCTCCGCGCCATCCTCTTGAGGATAACGGCAAACAGTCGGCTCGATCGCTGCATCTCGATCTATGTCGATGTGCGAGGGTCCAATATCCGCGCCAGCCTCGGCTCGCTCGACCTCGAGTACCTCGAGATCACGCCCGCCGAGTTCAATGACGTGCAGAGCATTGAAGGATACGTCGACAAGTGGAGCCGCCACCTTGAATTTGCCGTCAAGCACCTCTTCGAGGCCGAGCTCAAGGTCTGCATCGAGGTG